GCCACCGGGTCCGTCATTTCGGGCGGGCGACGACCGCGTTTCGTGGACAGGTCGCACCTTACGTTGCGCCGGAGCGCATCACATCCGGCCGGCCCCGAACGCGCGAGGGTTGATTGACCGCCGTTGGCACAGAGAGCGCAGTGCACTATCGATTATACGTCTGGCAGCGGCGGCACGTGGTGCCCGCCTTCGACTAGGCCAGTGTGCGCGCGGCCCTACGCCCTATCGCAGGGGGCAACCAGCCGCGCTCGCTCGGCGCATGTTTATCGGTGCTTTTACGGGGCCGATAAGGATCCCGCCGGCGCGTCGCGCCGCGCGCGAAGCTCCCGGCGTTCGAGGAGTAGCCGCGTCCCCGCCGAGACGCCGCGGCTGTCGGCCGCACGTCCCTAGGGGCATGTCCCGCGGAAGTATTCCGCATTTTCCGCTGGCGGCGGAGCATCGCCGCCGCGCCGGTGCTTTAAATCATTGAAAGTTATCACCTTCGATAATCGCGGGGCCAGGGGATTCCATCTCGGACAATCGGGACACGGAAAGAAAAATTCGCAGCTGGAAGCTGCATGTGGCAACTATAGATTTCAGTTGTAAAATATGGACAGCTGATATTTGGTTGGGCTAGCTAAGTTATTTCGCTACTGCGCCTATATTGTATTAGCTGCGATACAGCAAACCGTTTGCTGTGGTTTAGAAAGTTGTAGTTGTGGCGGCAAAATATTTTTAGCAAACCATGATTAGCTACTGTAGCGAAAAAAAAAATTTTTTTATCAACGAAGCTCTCGCTGTAGCCCTGCTTTTCTCTCCTTCGTTATTTACGTTTTGTACAATCTTTTTTTTTTAATATAAATAAGACACCTGCAGATACCGTTAATGTTGTACGAAAATGTACTGCTGGGCGAAATTTGCTCGCTACGTCGAGCACGTTTATCCGTGGCCGGGGTTTAATTCCCAAAGGTGTTACCACTTGTACGATCGAACCAAGTCACGAAGAGGATAAAAAGAATCGCGTATTCCGAATCTTTCGCTCTCCGGCGACGTTCGGTCGTGAACATATCTTTTCCCTCATTTGAATATATATTATCTTTTAAGCGCTCTTATTTTAGCTCGTAAACATATTCCGGATTCAAAGCTGTCTACAAAAGCTGTACTTTTCATAAATACATATCGAACAGATTGAAGAAGTCAATTGTCACGGACGGGGAGGGGGGATTAGAACGCGCGTAGATGAAGAAATCAGAACGATCGCGATAAGCCTAGCTCGCGAGATTGATCAACGAAAAATTCGCGAGGCCGATTTCTTTCCCCTCAACGGTTGTAAATCAGTTAATTATGGGAACGTATCTCCGCTCGGCGGCTTATCTTAAAGAAAGTTTAATTTATCGGGGCTAACACTAACCGACATTGTTACAGTCGCTAAACCGGCGGACCTTAAATCATCCGGAATCTTGCATGCGCGAAGAAAATGAATTCGCCGCAGTCACGCGAATCGCCGCTACGTGCCGAGTTCGGCCGAGCGAGTTACCGTTTCTTTCGCGGAATAAATCAGTCTCGGTGGCAAAAATTAGCCGCCATTAAAATGCGCAAGATACAAATATATATTTCTCTGTATATACGTCCGCGGCTATAGTTATATAATTCCATTGTACCTGCGCTCCACATCCTCCTTCCGACGCGAGCTGCCTCCAATTATTCCCGGGTCCCTATTTCCTCGCGAGTCACTCACGCCATGCATACGCAAACGCGCACGAATGACGTTCGTCCCGTTCACCAGTTTCGATCTCGACGTAAGGCGGCGTGAATCCTCCAGTCGTTGAAAAAAACAGTCGCACCAAAGGTGATCCAGGTCTCGCGTTACGTTAATTGAATCAGAAAGAAGAGGAAAATCAATAGGGAAGCCTGATAAACGGAGAATTAGACAGTGACACGCCGACCTCTGGATACATCTCGAGCGTTTTGCGATACTAATTATACTTTATGCGGGTGAGAAATGATTTGACGATAACGATTATGTGGCGTGTTACGCTATCGATTGCGCAGTTAAAGTTAGAAGCGTCAAAGGAGCCGAGGGCGGAGTAAGCTCGGGCTCGGATCGAACGTACACACAGGCGTTGGCAATAATCTTTTTATTTATTAAGAAAAATCTCCCTGTTATATTAGCGTCGTTGAGTAAGTACCGTGTCAGTTTCGCGCGAGGATAAACATATCTCGGCGTAGTTTGTTCTCTCGCATAATTCCGCACGCGCGTATAGCAAAATAAATCGGATATCTTCTTTCTTTCTTTTTTTTCTTCTTTCTCTGTACGAAATTGTCGTTGCGGCGAGTCGCCTTTCTGGACGAGTCGTTTATCCAAGGCGCTTTACAAAGGATGCCGTCGCGTAAATATCGTACAATTAAATACATCGAGGATAAATAGGTCGTCGTTCCATATCCGTACGGTTTTTAAGAGGCTTACATCCGAACGGGGAGTGTGACTAATGCTTGCAATTATATTAGAATGGCAAGAAAAGCCGCATTCAAACCGCCTTACACGCTAATATTTATATAATATAATTCATCACAGCAATAAACAAAATATACGTGTGCGCATATGGATGTACAAAACTCGTGAGTTATCGCCTCTCTCGCATCTTTCTCCTCTCTCTCTCTCTCACACATACTCGCTCTCTCTCTCT